TAAAAAATGCTAGTAATGTAGCAATCGGGTATCGAATATCAAAAGCATATTTTGAATAGCAACGACATAAAAATAGGACCGTTTAGATAATATTTAACGCTTCAAGGACGAGAAAGAAATTGCACAATAATTTATTCGTGTTGTATTAAACACTTAAATCTAGTTAATATCAATTTGTTAATGTTTATTTTCTTATAAAGTTTACGTTTAAGTTTGTATTTAAAATAAATAAATAAATAAAAATAATAATAAATAACTTTTAAGTATTATTACTAAATGCGTTCACTTAAAACTAGGTAATGTGTATTTTTCCCGAAAGCTTATGTCGTGCGTGAAACTGTATGATCACGAACAATACATTCATTCATTCGTAATCTCAATTTGAATTATGTATTTTTATTTATTTATTCAGGTCCATGACGACTGAATGTCTACTATTATTGTCAAATAGGAGATACTAAATTATATATTTCCTGCTATTTGATCGGTTGGCTAATGTAAAATACAGTATATTGTTATAATGCTAAATACTTTTTCGGTTTGTAATTTAATAATATAACTACCGAATATATTGTTTATTAATTACGATTTAGTACAAACGAACTTGCCTTACGTCATAGATAACTTATACAATTCAGATAACAAAATATCAAGTTTTTAAATAAACAAGACGACATATTAATCGCAAGGTGATAATGGCAGATTAAAGAGTTCTAAAGTACAGAAGACCTTATTGGTTGAGAATGCATCAAGTTGCTTTCTATATTCTAATCAATAAACACGTGAGTTGTTGTTACCCAAAACAGAAACAAAGTCTGGTGCGTGTTGGAAGTGTAATCTCAATGTTAGACTATTTCCAGACTTGATTTCTTTATTTATGGCAGCTCTAAGTACACTTTTAATAAGCAGAACGAATGCCGGAGCGTTCTCTCAATGCCAAAATTGTATAGCAATTAATTAATCTCATTTATTTCGCAGAAGACTAACTTAATTACACTTATTTTATAGAGAGTAATGAACGGACGACTTTATAGTTAAGGTTCAATAACACTACTGTCATACAGACCTATTAAATCCATATTTTTTAGACTAGCAACTGCGTACTTATCACTTGTTTTTAGATAAAAGAATATAATTATGTTATTATATTAAGCTTATATTGTTGGCGTTAAAATGTATTAAAAATAACAATGATATAGTGTAGATATTTTGATAAAAGTTTCATAATATACAGTAATTGGACGATTCTCGAATTTAAATTTTAAGTAAACCAATGTTTAGGCTAAATAGTACAATACATAATTATGATAAAATCAAATGAAAATTTAGACTTATTATTTTATTATTAAGATAAATTAATTATATTTAAGAAAAGGAATTTTATTTATTTGTTTATTTTATTCTGTTTTCCAATTATTTCCTTAATCCTTTAATTTATACTCTTTAAATTTGACATTGAAATAGTCTTTCCGGAATTTTTCACGGAAAATCGAAAGATTTATTTCTACATAAGGACGTCTAAACACTGAATAGTTTGCCTTTATTTCGTAATACTTTATTTATATTTGACATAAATTATTTTTCATTGCGTTTAACAAGATATTAAAGGAAGTTGAATTATAAATTTTATTATATTGAAATCAATTAATTCATTATCTGATTGCAAATTCAAATCAGGAAAATCTAACTAACTTATTATTATCTTTCGTACCCCCTTTTCACAATGATGCTTAATTATGCCACCGACAGCTATCTATACAAATGTTGAATATTATACTATCTATTGATATTAAATTCCATAATCATATTAATTATAATTTTTAATTTTCCAATGAAAATAAAAGTTACGAAGAAGCATATTGGACCGAAAGAAAGTCAATTAATTCGACCAAATGGTAACATTCAACAAATTCAATGACCCTTTTTCAAATAACTTGTTTTTAGTTTTAAAAATATATCAACTACAAATTTATTCTACTCAACCGGATCAAAAAAAATTTTCCGTGAACATGTACTGTACACGTAGCTTATATTCTTGCCTATTAAATCTAAATGACAATGCAAGTACTGTACAATATAATAAAAATTATAAATGAAAGTTTGTCGTGTAAGAAATTGAATGGTTGCTAATTAATATATAAATTATTTTCATATTATATAGTACATTATATAATGTATAATGAATGTTTACTTTCTTATATTTCTAGTAAAATGAATAAATAATTTCTGTTTTTATAAATACAGTTTACACATATTTTATCAATAAAATTTATACAGCATATAGGTCTATGTGTTATGGTAAATTTATGTATAAAATTGCAAAAATATAATTACGCAAAATCCTTATTCATTCTTTTGTAATCAGGATCAAAATATGAAAATCAACACTTCAAATAGGTCGAGTTATTCTTATTGCGAAATATAAATTAGCTTATTATAATAAAATAAATTTTTATTAAGAATAGAAAATCAACTTTATCGTTTATACATATAATTTATGTTATGTATATAATATATTAAGAGGTATAACTGAGGGGGATACGTGCCCCGGGTGCCGATCTTGAGAGCTTTAAATTGAGTCCGTAGAAATTAACGTTGAATCAAGAAGCCAGGTGTGAGGTTTGCCCCAGGCATCAAAACTGTTCGGTACAAAACTATTATAATACATAAAATTTAAGCTATACATTTATGCAGGAGAATTTAAAAATACTTTCTATTTTATTGTGAAAAAAATGTCGTCTATTTTTTCGTAATTTATAGCATGTTGTAACATCCAATACATATTTTGAAACTATGACGTATGTCTTTCTATTTTTATTTTTGTTGAAAATTTGAAAATTTTTATTAAAAAAATTTCTAACTTTTAGTCTCCACCGAATCTTCCTCATTAAATCTGGATGCTGAAAACCAGTAAAAGTAATTTTTAGATTAGTACAGGTATATAAAAAACAAAAACTTAAATATAGAAATTTTTAAAAATCACAACCTTTATTTTAAATGTTTTATAATCGAACACAAAATTTTATCATAATTAAAATTTTTAAAAATTATATATAGAAATTTTTTTAAAATATTGTTTAAATAATAATTTTATTATTAATATTATATGTGGAAATCCTGAAAATGCCACGTATAATCTCTAAGTATCTCAATACTTAATCTGAATATGAAATTGCAAGCTCAAAATAAGTCGTAGATAAATATTTCTTGGCACAGATCATTATTACAGTATCTTGACTTTGGCAAATTAAATACAGAAAATTCTATAAAAAGTTTTATAAGACCTAAAATATAAACTTATTTGTTTTGAAAAACGAAAAACATGTATGAACTATACTAATTGATGAGCCTGACCATTTTGTTGCGACTAATGTAAAGCGTGTATTTTATTTTTACAATTACAGAATGATGGCCAAAAAAACTTTTGAAGTGTTGTGTTTAAGGTTAGAAAAATCACACTGTACTATCGCGACTTATTCCCTCAAGGGCTTGGCAATAATCCAAAGTAAATTTACTGCCCACTTATTCTGGTCACGAAATCGTACAGAGCTATTTTAATAAGTCCTAGAAAAATCTTCTCTCCTCTTACGTAACTCCAATAATCCTATTCACAAAAATAATTATTCCGAAACGTTAATGTACGAAACTTAAATTCATTGTAGACACCACGAAAATACGAATCGAGTTGTCTTTGATAGATCAACGACCGCTGATTATAGTTAATTAATAATGAGCCTTGATAGAATTTTAATACAGTTATAAAGTTGTGCGCCTAAATCCGAATGATCAAAATTAGGATTTTTAATTTGTATTGTATTGATGTAATGGAGCTCGAACATTCGGATATTTTATAGAATAAATTCCAAGTTCGTAAAACATTTTTATTCTGAAAAGTTCCGTCTTTATTACTGTAGTCGTGTTGTATTAAACACTTAAATCTAGTTAATATCAATTTGTTAATGTTTATTTTCTTATAAAGTTTACGTTTAAGTTTGTATTTAAAATAAATAAATAAATAAAAATAATAATAAATAACTTTTAAGTATTATTACTAAATGCGTTCACTTAAAACTAGGTAATGTGTATTTTTCCCGAAAGCTTATGTCGTGCGTGAAACTGTATGATCACGAACAATACATTCATTCATTCGTAATCTCAATTTGAATTATGTATTTTTATTTATTTATTCAGGTCCATGACGACTGAATGTCTACTATTATTGTCAAATAGGAGATACTAAATTATATATTTCCTGCTATTTGATCGGTTGGCTAATGTAAAATNGTGTAATTTTTTTTAACATTTCCAATTCAATAAATTCCATAATTTGTTTAATTATCTGAACAGAAATGTTATGATCGAGTTAAACTTACGGCCGAAAGCGCAATTTTTTATTTTTTAAATGATTGAAACTTAGAACATTGTCTGAAAAGTTTAGAATTCACACAGACATATGCATTAATGAATAAAAAAAAACACAGAACAAAACTCAGTTTTCGTAGCACGTGCTTTGTAACGGATAAAGGGAAAGAATCGCCAAGGACATCTTCCATCCGATCCAAGGACTTTTTTTAGTCATCCGAGTTTATTTTCAAGTTCAAATAATCAAAGTTCTGTATCGGATATATTTTGTCTACACGAACGTTATACAAACAATCCGAGAGATTCGATCTTGTATACAAAAAAAACAAGAAAAAAAATATCTCATAACTCTTAAACGTATTTTATTATTTGCCTAGAGGAGATAAACAAGGTGATCAAATTGGAGACTACCTTTTTAAAAAACAAACCTGTTTACTAAATGACATTTACCTATTTTTAGTCACAGCAGTGAAATTAATATATCTGTAACATGCACCAACCAGATTACTTCTGTATTAAAATATAAAATAAAATAAAAACTGCACAGAAAAATCTCTCGATAGGTGACGTCATTATGATTTAAGAGAGATTTTTCCGTTTTGTATTGTTTATCTCGTCCGCACAAAAAGAAAGAAAAATAAATGTCATCGTAATCGTCTGACGTCACAATAAAAACCGGCCGTCGGTTGTCAAAATAAACCAATTGCGGATAGTTGTATCAATCAGTTAATAGGTCAGAGGGAAAAGTAAAGTAGTAGTAACACGCGGAAGTCGTCATAAATCAGCCGTTTCCGAAATAGACTGGAAACTTTCGTATGCACTCTCGCCATTACGTCACAAACTACGCACGCGGAGTCGACACAAAAGAAGTCGGCGATTGTTTGGCTTCAGCGAGTGTGTGTGTGCGGCTGGCTATTCACACGAATGGAATTCTGTGCGCGAAAGTGAAAGATCGCTTAAAATATGGAAGAAGAAAGTGCCCTATTGGAGGACGTATTTTATTTATATCCTTCGCGATCTATACAATGCATTGTCAGATTATTGGAAGATAAGCTAACTGTCCGTGCCACTGCCGGACACATTAAAGTTGTCAAATACGATTCGGTTAGCCTTAAAGATGTTATAGGTTGTCACGTTATGCGCGGTAGGACGGACGGTTATTACAATCATTCCGAAATTCGCCCAGATATCGGTGATCCGTCTGCTTATATTGCCATTTATACCTATCCTCTAACTTACAGAGGTACGTTTTTGAACAAACAACAGAGAAGAGAAAGATATGTTTTGACCTTTCGTATCCTCAAAAGCTCTCACCAACAAGAAAATCTAGCAATTGCACATCATTGGAGAGTGGCCATTCTCTGGATGCTCAGACAGAGTAGTTTACCATGTGCTAAAGGTAATATGCCTTTAAATTTATATACATTTTTAAATAAAAATTGATGAGAAATATACAAACTATTTGTTTTATATGATTCTCTAATTTGTTATTTTTTAATTGGAGAATAAGTCAAATGTATATGGATATTTAAATATAATTTGTTGATAAGACCGAAGTTTTCCTGTATTTGTTTAAAATCTGTGATATCCAATCTAAATTTCATTAACCTCGGTTAATGTTGATTTTATTTATTTTTTATATTGTTAAGGTAAAATAATTTGTGCTTTAATAATGATTATACATTTTGTATATAGTAATGTATATCAAATATTTATTTTACTAATTTAATTTTTATATTTTAATCTTCAATGTCTTTTATTTTTATCCAGAAATGAAAAAATATTGTGTATATGTTATCTACATTCCTATTTTTTTTTGTAATGATTAATTTATCAAAAAATTTTATTTCGTTAGATCATGTTATCTTATTTTTTTCTGATATCAATTTAAGTTCATATACTTGAATTCGAGGAAATCATAATTAAGGATAATTTAATTTTGTTTTTTTATTATAAAAGTGAAAAAATCTTGTTTTTTTTTTTAAATATTGAGAATAAATATAAAGTGGAAAATATAAATGCTTTAAATCGGGGATGGGCAACCTTTTTCTATGTAAGGGCTGCATTTCAAAACTTTTGAACTGATGCGGGCCACATACAAGAGAAAAGAGGGAAAAAAAGTCGGTAAATCACAATTATTTATTCATATATAATTATAAATTAGCATAGATATACTTATTTTAGCTTCTGGAACTGATGTAAATGTAATATATTGGAAATATTTGATTAAATATTAGTCACTGCTAGCTTTAAATTAGTTTCAATGTGTCTGTTAGCCTGGTTTTTGTTTTAATTTTTACTAAATTTATTGTGGAAAAACTATTCATATACATAAGTTGTAGAAAATAATGTTTGAATTTTTGCTGCATACTTTGTTAAGCTGGGAAATTGATATATTTATTCATATTTCATGTGGACCACAATAATTATTACTGCAGGCTGCGGGTTGTCCATCCCTGCTCTAAATGATGGCACAAATATTGTTTAACTTAATATTTTATGTAATATTGCATATAAAATGTGTCTTATCCAAAATTATTTCTATTAATAATAGTTTTTATCAGAACTGGTTTTTATAATAAAACCTCTTAAATAATAAAATTTGACAGACCTTTTTTTATCTGCCTGTTCTAAAACTAAAATTAACATTGCTTTTCTTTGTATATTGGTTGCATCATATTCTACAAAAACTTTTTATAATAATATATTTGTATCAATTTAATAATAGTATTTGAAGATATTGTCAATGTAAGAGTACCTTAATAACAATCCACGAAAAACCTTTTTTTTTTACGAGTGTTATGTCACTATTAAATTCCACAAGTACTTTCGACCTCCACTGAGGTCTGCTTCAGGTGGTGACATAACACTCATAAAAAAAGGTTTTTCGTGGATTATTATTATTCAATGCAGTGTTAAGTGGTTGGAAGTCGTTTATCTTAGTAAGAGTACCTTAGTTTTTAAATCTGTACATTATGTATATATACATCTGTACACTCATATATAATTTGTTTGACTGGCATATGCAAATTAGATTACCATTACATATTTATGCATGTTACTCAGTAGCATCTTCTATAACAGGGATGGCCAACACGTAGACCATGGTCAACTGCAAAGGTTTTGAAAGTAGTCTGCGAAGCTAAAGTTGAACAATTTGCTTTCACTTAAATTAATGTTTAAAAATCTTAATTCGATAATTTATTCTTACAATAATAGACTGTCTGTGCAACATACCTATACTGTTTGTATTTATTCCAATGAACAATGCAAATGAATGTTAACGCATGCGCATATAAAAATCCTAAAATTGTTTGCCCATATTCATAGTTGCCCGCAGACTATATTTTACCCAAAAAGTAGCCCCTAAGGGATAAAAGTTTGGCCACACCTTCTCTATAAAAAGTGCAACACAGTTTTGTTTTGATTAGAACAAAATATGAAGGTCCCTTTACATAAAATATGAAAAAATAATTACAAAAACCAGATTACAAGTAGCCTACATAAATTTTAATTGTTCATACAATTTCAGCATACATGTAAGAGTATTTACATGCTTTACAACATGTGCTGGGATGCCACCTCCAACCTGCTGACAGATGTTCACACAGTTGCATGTATTCTGTGCTATGCATTGCAGCACTTGTGGGGAATTTTCATTTATGGCCACTTAAATGCTCACTTTCAGTTTATCTATTGTATGGGAGTTGGTTCTTTTAAACTCATTCCTTCAAATAGCCCCAAAGAAAGAAATCAAGTAGTGTTAAGTATGGAGAGTGAGGTGATTACAAATCAATGGAGATGAGATGATCCCCAAAAAAATAGTTTAGCATGGCCATAATTTCTATTGCTATGTGACATATCACTCAGCCTTGCTGAAACCAATAGTGAGAATACTGAAAATATGCCCTGAGCAGTATGATCCTGATTAAGACCTGATTGTGACTCACTGTCTGTCAGAAACATGTGATTTTCCACCTTGTAGCTAAATCAAGGTCATGTGCATGGGTGCAGGTGAATTCTCCAATATTGTTATATTCATGCTGTAACACCAAATGCTTTGCAGAGGATATTCCAATTCTGTAAAAAAATTCACAGATTTTGAGTAAAGGGACTTACAAACTTACTACAACACTTGTGCATTTGCTGAGAGAATTTTTTTATTAACAAATGTTTTCAGTCTACTCCATTAGGTTATCAGGTTTTTAAATCTGTTTTTAGAAAATGTTTCACAAATAGAATATTCCATTTAAATTTTAACTTTTGAAGTATTTAAAGTTAAACAAATTAAATAAATAAATTATGAAAAATATAAGGTTAACAATAAATAAAAGTAAACTTAAGAAAATATATAAGGTTAACAAAATACAAATAAAAATGAAATTAAGAAAAATATAAGATATAACTCAAAAGCCAAATATGATTATAGGGGGACATAATTTGGGTTTTTTATCCTAATCTTTTATCCAATGATGTATTTCCAGGCTGAAGGTAATGCATTTACATCCCTTGCATTTAGGCACTACTCTTGTATATCTCTATTTTTTCCATATTCATAGCAATGGTTGGAGAATGTACATTTTTAATAATATTTGTTAATAAAAAATTCTCTCAGCAAATGCATAGGTGTTGTGAGTTTGTAATTTATCTCTGCTGAGTTCTTCTGGACTGTAAAGGAACTTTTGGGACATCCTGTATTTCTTTTGTCATGAATATATTAGAAAACTATCCTCAAGTTTTTGTAAGTTGCCATAATTGTTGCAAATAAAAATTTTAAACAAGTTTCCAAAAAAATTTTTTTGTCAGCATCTATTTATTTATTCAAATCTTTTGGTTTGTTTAAAAATATTTGGATTGTAATATCTGGTATTAAGTATTTTTTGGGACAACTTCAATGAGATAGATTATTTATTACTTCTATAAACATTATCATTTATACAATGCTCCACCTAAATATAGACACCTTTGCAAAATGTGCATTATATGCTGATTAAGCATATTAAACTGCTTATAATTAATTGTCAATAACCTAACTAAAATAATAAACAAGTTATGTAAGTATCATAAAAAAATATCAAATTGCTCACTTATTTTAATTATAAATTGGTTTGTTTTTAGTCACATATATATAGACATCCTGAGTCTATTTTCAACATTAGAAAAAAATAAAAAATAAAAATTATGAAACATTAGTATTAATAATTGGTTAGGCATCCATTTTTATTTATTAATTAAAATTTTCTGTTGGACTACTACTATCATCCAAGTCATCCCACTATTAAGTTTGACTGTCCAGATGGATTGAATTGATTTTAGCATGATTTAAGAAAATTACCTTAGTATTTTTCTAAGTATAGCTTTGTAGACATAATGTGATAGTTTGGTGGCATTTAGCACTGCAGGAAAATTACCTTTAGCTTTTGTTTCATCAAGAAAGAACTGTTCAGATTAAAATTTAATACAGTGGTACCTCGGTATACGTCTGCTTTAGAATACGTCCAATTCGGAATACATCCTGTTTGGACGAAACAAATTTTGCTCGGTATACGACTTTTGTTCGGTATACGACATAATTCAATTATACGCGCCATCAATGAACAAGTAGCACTATCGGTGTACTAGACCAGACTAGACGTTCGCGGTGCAACGGTTTATAACTTTGTTTAATTTCTTCTGATTTTAATTCGTAAGTAAAATTTTATTATTTTTATTAATCACGAATCCCAAAAAGGCAAATGAAAAGCGACAGAAAACTAAAAAAATGACTAGAATTACAATGGAACTGATGAAAGAGATTGTTGAGAAATACGAAGGTGGCACGCGTGTTCGAGATTTTAACTGTTGTTTACCGTATTCCGAGAACGACGATATGGACAATCGCGAAAAATAAAGACATTATTAAATCTGCTAACGTTGCGAAAGGGGTTAAATCAATTTCTAAACAGAGATCGAAGACATTAGATCATGTCGAGAAATTGCTTTTGCTTTGGATAACTGAAAAACAGTGCTGGAGACAGCGTATCGGAAGCAATTATTTGCGAGAAAGCTAAAAAGATACACGCTGATCTCACGAAAAATCAAGCAGGAACTAGCCAGGAAAGAGAGGTGTTTAAAGCCAGCCATTTTTTTTACACGAGAACGAATTAATCATTTTTACATTACTTCTTATGGGAAAGGTTGGTTTGGTATACGTCCAATTCGGTATAAGTCCAAACATCGGGAACGGATTAAGGTCGTATACCGAGGTTCCACTGTACTTGCCAATCATCTTTACTATTTCTTCAACAAAACCAGCACATCCTCCTTACATTTCAGCAAGAGAATGCAATGTGACCTTTTCCGCAAGAGAATGCAAATGTCCATTCTAGTTGTAATATATATTAATGGTTTCAGAATAAT